AGGCACAGCGGTTGACTACTGTTTCTTGGTTCGGAAGATGACCAATAAGTGGCGTTGATATCGACTGCCCCACCACTTGGCCATTTCAGCATCTTGGGCGTGTCGTCCACGTCTGGAATGCGATGGTAACTAGGCCAGTGTAATAAATGTTGCTGACTGTACGAATTATCATATTTATAACATATTTATAACGTTATTATGCGGCAGTACGCTTCAGGTGACAATTGGTGAGGTTATGCGCGGAGATTCATTTTTGTTATTTTAACAAAAAATACTATAATTATAATCATTATAGTTATCATAGTTTGTATCATTTATAATAACATTGTTATTGATATTATCGGCACTTGTAATATAAGGTATCAATATGATGAAGTATTATACATAGGTATGAACTGTTTTTGATTTCAGAAAAATGTTACTCTGTTGGCAATGTTTTTAAACAAGTATTATTTTTTCTCCTTTCACAAATATTTTGAATTTTAATGTGAATGCAATCAAATAAACTGACCCGAGCCTCCTAACCATAACCTCTCATTTTCATCCAGGCCTAGCTCTTTCAGTTGTGCCATAAGGAATAACTGGACATCATTACTGAAAGAGAATCACAAATACGCTTAAACATTTTTCATAGAGGATACTTCAAATCTACATCTGAATAGAAAGGCACAAGCAATACATAAGAGCAGCAGGAGACTGCAGTACCGCTATCTGCATCTATATCATATATTATATTATATTATATTATATTATATTATATTATATTATATTATCCATACACATAATAAAACACTACACCATTCCCTACCTGTCCACAGCCACCATATCTCCACCCTGGGATTTGCAGTACGTTGAGGCATCATACCAGGACAGCTTCATGTTAATGTTAAACTGGTAACATGTACCGTTGTGAGAACGCCAGCCGATTGCACAAACACCTAAAATACGATCATTGATGAATAGAAATATGAACATGACTTGGGTGATGTACCCCTGTACCACTGTGTTGCCATAACCAATCTGATTTAAAGATTTATTGAAGCTTATTTACAGAGTCGTAATTAACGCATCCGATCCTGCAACGGCAGTGTCCGTATATATCCAATACCTTTAGACAGAGGTTAAAGGGTGACTAATAGAGGTGTGCGCTCATATCCATGAGTCCAATTTCATCCGTGTATGAATTTTGATAAATCCGTGTGAGGCAAGCCAGACCTCTTTTGCATATGGAAATAAATCTGAAAAAAATAGCACCAAACGTCCTTTGCTTACCTTCAGTTTTCTTACACATATATGCTCTCTCAGTACTACAACTGGTGGCAGCCCACGATGCCCGGGCGGCACTATAGGTGGGGTCTACCACGACACACGAATCGTTGGCTTGGTCACTGAAAAGGTGACGGCATGTGATTGTCTTAATATATTTTAACTTTTTTATAATTATAACAACGACACTACCAATGACACTACCAATGCATGTAACATTAATAATTACTAGAGCGTATTAAACTATTCTTTTAAACAGACGACTTTTTGATGTCAGAACAGTCGGCAAATGAATTTCGTTCTTCTGCTTCTTACGCTAATATTCCGTGTCATGCCATTCCACCATTGTAATTGATTTTAAATGTGTACGCGGATATCTACACAAAACTATTGAAGTCTGAAAGACCTACATATAGGCCTACTATAAAAATTCCCTTGTGTCGATACATGATATTGTATTCTTTGTCTGTCTGTTAATAAATGCGAATTTAATTCAGCTTCTTCAATCACAAATATCATACTTACGGCAACAACTTCGGTCGTTTTCCTTCGCTCCAATACTCTGGCACTGAGGACTGGTTCTCACTGGATACCGGGAGTTCCATTGAAAGTTTCTTCCATACCGTCTCATTCTGTTAAATGATTTTTACAGGTAACTCCTTCGACAAACTAGAAACGCCACTGAATTGCCAAAGTTAGAAAACTGCGTAATTGGAAGCACATACTAAAATTACTTATGTAAAATAAATTATCATTACTTTATCATGTCCCTATGAAATTAATATGTTTGGCAAGAAGCTTCCGTTTACTTATTAGGTTTATATAAAGCTGTTTGGATAATATTTATATAAAATTACCCCATTGTTCCAAGAGGAATAACCCAACCAGATCGGTTTATCTTGGAATTTGGACACGTCGTACAGATATTGCTGCTGTATATCACTGTCTACAGTGGCTAGATATCCGCCGTAATAACCACAGTCAGAACTATATTGATAAATTAAAATGATAAGATTTTATTAATAGCGACACTGATACTGATAGATCCAAAAACATGATTGAAGATTAATTGTCTTCATCGTCTTCACAGTTAGAGTCTGCTTTACCTTTCTAACTAGAGCGGTTTAAGCAATACGTACAGGGGCGAATCCAGGATTATTTGAAGCAGAGGGGGGCGTAATTTTTGTAAATGACATGCCTCGGATGCGAAACCGACCCTATTCCCCTTGGCTAGTCAAAATTCCAATTTGAAGAGGGGAATATTGGTGTAATTTTTTTTTCTGAACCTAGCTGAGGACCCCCCCCCCCCCCCCGATTCCGCCACGGACGTATATGATACCGAACGATCATATCCATATTAAGAAATGCATCAAATCAGTTTAATTTAAGTTAAAGTTTAAATTAAATAATATACCTTCCTATTTTATATCTTTCGTAAACGTTCAAACCGTATTACTCACCTTGCTGTCGACCATTCCTTTTCTTGTTCGAATAGTTTGAAACACGAGTCTTGAACTAGTTGCCAGTCTGAAGGGCAGTTGTTCATCATGGCTTTAGGAAAACAAGGGTTGAAGATAAACGACAAAGCAGAAAGATAGGTGACCATTGAAATGAATATGCTGTATGGTAAATATATTCAAGACCTATTGCCTCCATCTGTAGGCCCTATGAAAGCTCAGAGGTCAACTATGCTCGTTTTAATCTATCACATTGGTTGCATATGGTCAATTTTTAATCTTGAAACAACGGAATGGGGCAGTCTTACTTTATTATGTAATGGACGAAGAGACAGATTAAAACAAAGCGTACTGACAAATAAAAAAGTTTTGAAAATTTGCAAATACTTCCAGTGATCCCATGATCCTTGAGGAGTACGAAACTAGCTTTTAATTCCTACTTAACATTTAACTTACAGATTTATTCAAAATATTTCCATTCGCGGTACATACATGCTTTAAAAAGCATAAAAAATAACATTCACAGTTAATGAAAAAATACGCAAGAAAGTGAACAGATCGATTAATGCCCTTTAATTTGAAATACTTCCAAACGTGATTTTTCACTTACCGTAAGGCATTAACAGTGTTAAAACCGACAGTAAGAAGGTCCCCCTGTCCATCTTCCACACTGCCATACAGCATACAACCTGGTCCGATATGTCCTATAGTGAATTCTAATGACACCGTCACACCTTGGCTTACTTATCGCTAGTATTATCGAGTGAATTGCCACCTCGATTATGCGATTGATAGATAAGTGGACGTGCGCCTCTGATGAATTCGCCATCGTGTGATATTGGCGCTAACAATGTGTCAGTTTATATGGTCGGTGATTTTCTGTTTTGGCTAATTCATACACTGCTGATCTATTGGTAATGGCCAACTGCTATCGTATTATTTTATAAAAAATAATAAGGTACCTGAAATAATTACGCTGTTTGTTTCATCCTTGCATATAGCCTTTGTCATATTCAAATTTTGTTGTCCAAGATGAGGAAGTCATCAAGAAATATTTAAAGACGTTAAAGGTTCGGCTTTTTATACTTAAACAACAACGCCACCCCTGCGTCAAGATCTTCATAAGGAATTATGAATTATTTGTGAAGAGAAAAATTTGTCAGTGTGAGAATGCAGACTTAAAGATGTAATGTTAGTAATTGACAGCCACGAGTAAATAAGGAGCAGGGAGTGTTTAGGGTACCCCATGCCTACATTATTTCATCAAATAGCAACCTTGCAATGGCAGGTGCTGTAATGTCGGGTACCGGGAATGCTTCCGGCCATCCAGTTAAACTGTCTATGAATGTAACAAGTGTCTTATTCCCTCTACTCGTAACTGGCAGAGACGTTATGTAGTCAACAGACAATCTATCAAAGCTGCCTTCCACGAGCAAAGGTAACAAAGGAGCCCTAAAACCTTTTGGAGGATTTTTCGTTGTCAAGCATTCGACACCATTTATGTCACGATGATATTGACTTTATTACGCGAGGTAAGAACTGAACAACTTTCATGTTCCTTCATATTCTTTATTGTCACTTCCTAACTTAAGTACATTTTCTTCTTCTTTCTTCAACCTCCTACATTGCTCTCCCTACACCCTCCTACATCGTTTTCTCCGTTTACATTACATTCTCGCTTAAGTGCGACGAGGTCATGTCAACCAACTCAAGTTATTCTACATAACACTCCCCGCTCCTTATTCACTCGTGGCTGTCAATTACTAACATCACAAAGACAATATGTTAGTGTCAAATCGAGCATTGTTCTTATCTGTACCTGTTTTATTTCTATTTATTTCTATTTTATTTCATCTTTTTTCCTTTTTGTCAAAAGACAAGTTTGATAGGACCCATGGGGGCGCGCTTGTTCTCCGGTCTCGTGATCCTTCGTCACCATGGGAACTTGTATTGTTTACTTGTCCTTTCAACCTTTCTATGGAGTACAACTTGAATCTAGAACATCATATGATTCAGTATTAAATGTGTCACTGTGAGTCTAACATTTCACTTTGGAGACTGTTTGATATACACGGTCCATATCATTTTCTCACAAATGTACTACCCTGTATGTTTACGTAAGCTAATAAAGGCGACGTTTTTTTTAGTGTTCAGATATATAGGCATCAACCCGAATGCCTGCCATCAACTTGTGTAATTCGAACTTTTCCTAATAGAACTGCGTCTGGTGTAAAAGTCGCATCAACCTCAGTTAGCATTCAATGCGTTGAAAAGGGTGCTCGGGAACGCGGAAGTAGGCAAACTTTTTAAGTAAACAATTTAGGTTTTGTCAAAGCTCTACTGTATTTTACTTGGCGTAGATACTTCGTGTACGTACGAGGTAAGAAAATTTGCTTAGCAGTTTTTGCTTTTCTAGCCAACCCTTAGTGTTGGAATATGCGTGCACTAGCGTCCATCTTCGCCAGATGTAGACGCACGGCACTGCTTTTAATTACTGCAGAAGTTAACTACCCCAAGGAAAGTACAGGAATACTCCAACGCCCAGGTAATGATTTTCAGAAATTTAGATCGGGAGGGGTTGTCACGCCCGTTGGTTTCCATCCTTACAGATTAATGAAATGTTTCAGGCTTTTGTGGTTTATAATTTCAGCTGTATTGCAAAGTGCGCTGTTGAAATGGACGTCATTTGCAAGGTCCGTCATAGCTGGACATCGGGGAAGAAAGGAATACTAGTAATTTTGACAATCGTTGGGACAGCAAATGGTAAGATTTAGTGACCTCACAAGAGAGTGCAAAGGGTATTTATGACAAAAGGTGGAATGATTTCACTGCCTTAACAATTGAGACATATTTTTCGAAAGACTATACAATATAGTCAACTTAAAAAAGCAGGACAATTCCTTTCACCCTTTAACAATTGAAGGTAAATTTATATACTTCCTTTTTCTCAACACTGAATCTGTAGACGAATGTAGTCATTTGTAAGCAGTCACGGATTTGTGCAGATATTGTATTCATCAGCTCACCAGTTGACTTCTAGTCTTGATACGTACTGCAGATGATGTCATTTATTGAAATGGACCTTGTAGCTTTAGGTGCATCGTGCAGATGGTCAGTGTCTGCGCCTTCGACAGTGGATGGTATTCAAGGACGCTCTGTTGATCTGCCATGTTCACTTACTGTAAGTTATGGAGTTGTGTATTTCTACAGAGTCACATGGACAACATCCAGTGACAATCTGACACAGTCGTATCCTTATATTTCAACTTATCCAAACATCAACACGTGGGGAAATAGAGCCAGCATAACTGGCCGGACATCTCTGAGGCTGCAGTCTGTAACACAACAGGACAGCGGGCTGTACACGTGTAAGATCCGTATACTCAGTCAAACAGGCTGTTCATTAAGTACAAGTAACAGTGAGAGACAGGATTATACGAGACTTATTGTGACAGGTAGGTCGTATACTCAAGCTTGATTCAGATTTTACTGACAGATCAGCCGCCCTCTTTAACACTTAAGGGACTAGCCACCCTCCAGCCATGACTGTTGGCCTTGATTGACATTAAAAAGGAAATATCTTAACTTGTCTGAATATTTATCAATACCTAATTTAAAGCCAACAATCTAATTGCTTAATGTATCGTAGCTCTGTTACAAATGTAAAAATAATGACTCACATAATATGCTCAATACAAAATGTCTATTGAAGGGAGCAAATTATGTATTTCATTATGCTGTTCACACCAGTGCATGATCCTAATGAGTCAATAAAAAGAATATCTTAGTTTCGAATCATGCTGGTTTTGAAGATTAAATCGGTGCATGTACATTTTCCGCAAATGTCAGTCTGGACTAGTTTTACACTGATATTAGACTGTGTGATGCTGAGTTCACAGCCTCTAAAGTAGACATTCCATCGCCATGAATAGCTCATGCACCATTTTACATGAACGTCCAGTGCCACCATCTGCTCCAAGAATCAGCACCTCACCATACGGTGCAGTCAACAGGGACGTCGTTGAGGATACAACAGCATATTTATATTGTGAGAATGTTGATGGTTCTGACCCAGTGACGTACACATGGCGACGTGGGATTCAGGTTTTGTCTGGATCAATGGAAAGTGGAAAATATAAGTTGACCATATACAATATCAAACGTTATACTGCTACCTATACCTGTACGGTATCCAACTCTGCTGGAACAAACTCAACTACATTTACATTCAATGTCATATGTGAGTATTTTTCAATCTACAAACGTTTTATTCCAATACTGGTAGCGTAGTGTTTTCAATATCAGCATCTGGCTTCAAATCAAAGCCTTCACTCTACACCAGGTAAATGAGCATTACGCAGTATATAGCAAACATCTATCAGACTATTTTAGTGCTTTAACAATCAGAGCATATGGTTGAATAAGAACAATTTTAATAATATACATTTGTCAATTCCAATTTTTAACATTTTGATATATCATTGAAGCATTTTATTTTCACTTAAGGTTTAAAAGACTGATATTTAAAACACATGACACGATCTCCTCTTCCAGTGCCACCATCTGCTCCAAGAATCAGCACCTCACCATCTGGTGCAATCAATAGGGACGTCGTTGAGGGTACAACAGCATATTTATACTGTGTGAATATTGCTGGTTCAACTCCAGTGACGTACACATGGCGACGAGGAGGTCAGGTGTTGTCGGGGACAATGGAACGTGGCAAATATAAGCTGACCATAACCAATATCAAACGTTATACTGCTACCTATACCTGTACTGTTAGAAATGTGGCTGGAACAAACTCAGCTTCTTTTACATTTAATGTCATATGTGAGTATTTCTAGATGTGAAGAGGTTTTATTCCACCATTCACATTTATGTTGATAAATCATTGTTTTAACTTACCGCGGCGTTCAGGGATGTGTTATTTTAGATAAGGTATAAAGTTGCACCAGTTTGATCTTAATTTGAAATGGTTATAATAGGATGGAAAATTACCAAATAATATAATCACTCCATGAATATGTATCTTATTTACCAATGCAGCATGTTGCTTCCACTAAATATATGAGAAACACGTATTCCAGTGCCACCATCTGTTCCAAGAATCACCACCTCATCATCTGGTGCAGTCAACAGGGACATCGTTGAGGATAGCACAGCATTTTTATACTGTGAGAATGTGGGTGGTTCAGATCCAGTAACGTACACATGGCGACGTGGAAGTCAGGTGTTGTCAAGCTCAACGAGGATTGGAAAATATATGCTGACTATAACCAACATTAAACGTGGTGCTGGCACCTTTACTTGTTCTGTAGCAAACACTGCTGGAACAAACTCAGCTACATTTACATTCAATGTCCTATGTGAGTATTTCTTAATGCAAAAAGGTTTGATTCCGTTATTTAGATGGATAATTTATTTTAAAGCTGATTTATCTAGTTGTAAAAAGACAATAAAAATGTTATTCATACACTAGATATATGTGTATTTTTTATTTATGCCCTAAGTATTTCTGTATTCAGATCCATCTGGTTCAGCCTTGGCAGTTTCTACTCAAGTTGTCAAGGTAATAGGAAATAGTGCAAGTCTCCAGTGCAGAGTTACCCAACAAGGAAATCCAACTGTTACATTCAGGTGGACCAAAGACTCTGCCTCCACAGTGATAGCAACTAATGCAGGAACTCTGTACAAGAACAATCTTCAAGTATCTGATGATGGGACATATCACTGTACTCCAGTTAATACTGCTGGAAGTGGAGCACCAGCTTTTGTTGTTCTTACTGTTAATGGTTAGTGGAATATATTATCTTAGTTTCAAATTAATTTACAATGCAATTTTACATCTGTCTCATTGAGTCTAAATATCAACTGATTTATAACTCTCAGTAGGATATCATGGTCATGACTGGTACTTTTATTTAATTGGTAAGTAAAATTAGCAAAATAAATTTAAGCAAAATCTGCATATGCACATGCAAACATTTTGTCTCCCACAGTCCCACCTAGAATATCCCCTGCTGTACCGAGTGCCATGACAGTGAGAGTAAGTCAAGATTTACGTCTGGAATGTACTGCCACTGCCAAACCTGCTGCTTCTCTGCAGTGGACTATGTCAACGGGCGCTGCACTACCCAGTGCTGTATTTGAGACTGAAACCCCTCCCCACACAGTATCTGGTAAAATCACCACCAGCAAGAGCATATTAAAGTGGAAGTCTGGGAGTTCAGCTAGTACCAGGAAAAGTGCAGGAAATGAGGTTGGGGTGAAATGTAGAGCATACAATGGTGTTGGAAATCGAGCAGAGGACCACTCAAGGGTTGTTATACAGTGTAAGCCTGATACATGATTTAATCGATGAAGTTAATATGTGCATGACATCAGTAATTTTAGAATGACGAGGAAATATTAATTAATGCATAATACAAGTATGTGCATTAAGCATCAGTTTGTATTACCTGTACATTCATATCTGATATGTCAAGATCAGTAAGTTCAAACAGCATTTACATAATAACAAGTTCGAACGTTTAATAAGATTTTATATGTGAAGTATCTGATATAATTTTTCAGACCCTCCTGGGACGCCAAAGTTAACCATAAGTTCACTTTCGCCACAAATTAACACCACTGTCACCTTGACCTGCTCCGTGCCGCATGCCCAAAGGGGAAACCCTGCCACGTACACTTATACAGTGAAGAAAGGAAATGCTGTGATTTCAACATCTTACTCCAACATTTTCACTATGAGAGTCTATGACATCCGTGATGCCGTAGGTTACGCCTGTGAAGTTCGGAACTCCGTGGGAGCTGGTTCCAGTCCGTCAAGAACTCAGACGATAGCAGTTGTTAATGGTACTTATACTATATCTGCAATAACATCTAATGGCGTTTTTATATCAATTTATTATTCATGGCCACGTGTAATGTATAATCACATTAAGGTCATTGCATATAGCGGGCTGGTATTATCAACAGTTGCCGCATTATATCAGAAAAGTGTGCTTTTTTAAAAGTCCCTTATTCCATTATATTTAGGCTACATCGAAGATACCTTGTAAGTAGTGCTGGATTACATACAAAAAATGTATCGTACAGGGATTATTTTGGCTGTTAGCACGAATGGAACATCTGTTACTAATGTACATGCATGTTATTATTTCAGTTCCTGCATTTATTCACAATCCACTTGCCCCGCAGACAATCACTCCTTTCTACAGCGATCCCCATTTTAAGCTAGAATGCATCTTCTCTGGAAACCCTACACCAACAGACAATATTCTGGTATGGAATAAAGATGGCGCTGGTATAGCTGATTTAACAAAGTACACTGTAACCACAGTCCGAGTCGCCCAGTCATTTCCATATGGCATCAGCGTAGGGAAGAAAAGCATGATAACGTGGAACAAAAGCTTTGGAAACTTCTCTTGCGACAGTGTAGCTGAATATGATGGGAAATATCAATGTAGTGTGAACTCAGGGACACCAGAGCAAGACATGTCTAGTGAAGTTACAGTCAGAACAAAGTGTAAGTTTTTAAATCTCGGTATCGATTATAAAATGTACCACGTTTAAATACAGCTACTTTGTTTGAGTAACCTTCCCTTTGAGCATTTCGAAATACTATAAGGCATTTTGAATAGTTTTCAATATTGTGATTTATTTCAGATCCCCCCAAGCTGCGTGGTTTTCACAATGTACTAGTTGCTGCTGAACTTAGAAACACCAAAACTTTTGTGTGCAATGTATGTGCCTATCCACCACCAAAATCATACACATGGTACTTTGGGAATGAGACCAACAGCCGTGGTTCTGGGCAGAACTTGACGATATCAGATATTCAGATTAATGATTTTGGTACCTATATCTGTAAAGTCATCAGTGAAGTTGGCGAGGAGAGCATAGATTTTGAGCTGAAACCTGACGGTGAGTGTACATATATTACTTACTCTTACTATTGCTTAAGGAACATTGTTTTATTAAGATCGTGATGTCGTTTTGGGGATTTGACTACTTCTGATAGCTTTTCATATAAATGGACGTGTTCAGCAAGTGCCAGTTTCGGATTATATATATATATGGTTGCATATTTTATTGCTGTGTCATTTAATGGGCATTTTGGCTGGTGC